GAAAAGTCCGGCTTCCCTGCAAGTAGAAAGCTAGCACATCAAGGGGAGAAAAAAAAAAGCTTCTTTTCCCTGACATGCTGTCTTTCCACTTTTGGGAAATATTGGGAGAAAGAAGATTTTTTAAAAGCATGTTTCTAAAGTGGGACGCAGTGGCTCAGTGGCTAAGATGCTGAACTTGTCAATCAGAAAGGTCGGTAGTTCAGCAGTTTGAATCCCTAGCGCCACATAATGGAGTGAGCTCCCGTGATTTGTCCCAGCTTCTGCCAACCAGCAGTTCGAAAGCGCGTAAAAATGCAAGTAGAAAAATAGGAACCACCTTTGGTGGGAAGGGAACAGGGTTCCATGCTCCTTTGGTGTTGAGTCATGCCGGCCACATGACCACAGAGACGTCATTAGACAGTGCTGGCTCTTTGGCTTTGAAACAGAGATTAGCACTGCCCCCTAGAGTCAGGAACAACTAGCACATATGTGCGTGGGAAACCTTTACCTTTTACCTTTACCAAAGTGGAAAGGACCAGACAGAAATGATTTGTTTACAAATCTTTTTTTTAAAAAACTTTTGCTAGACTATTTTGTTTTGCAAGAATTCATCAAATGAAAAGCTGGCTCTTTGGCAAAAACTCACTTTGACCTGGAAAGCTTCGTGTCCCATCAGTTCCCCCAGACAAGTGATGCAGCTGTTGTAGCGATGTCTCATCCACATTTTATATTTCTCTTCTGCTCTGTAATTTCCTGAAACAAAGCAAGGCATGGACCGGAGAAAGCTGAAGAGAAGCTGCCCACCGCTTTGAGGTCATCAGCTACCATATATACTTGGTATAAACCCAGCCATGAATAAGCTACCCGCAAAATTGCAACTAAAATTGTTTTAATGAGTAGATTCGGGAGAATTTTGGACCTCTTGTATCAAATCCTTTAAAAAGAAAGATGCAGCTGCTTTAATGAACCCAGAAGGGCTGTGCTCAGCTGAGGTCCAAAGCACCTCTTGTCAAATAAGATTGGAAGCATGCACAGCCTTAAAAACTATCCCAAAAGGTCTGCTTAAGAAAACTTATAGAACTGCCAAAAAAAAAAAAAAAAACCTCCAGGAAGAAAAAAAGAACACCCAGCTGCTTTAATGAACCCAGAGGAGCTGTGCTCACTTCAACCCAAAAGCTTCTGTCAAATAAGAACTGAAGTATGCACAGCCTTAAAAACTACCTTAAAGGATTGATGCAACCCCACCCCACCCAAAATACCAGGAAGAAAATTCCATTGAAAACAGCTGCATCTTCCTCCTGATAAACCAGGAAAGATGCTTCACCATTGCCACATCACCCATGCTTGGGAACAGCCTAAAATTTCCCTACTTTTAGTGAAATCTGTGTCCTGTTTACCACACCCATAGCTGTCCCGCCCCCCACCCCACACACACCAAGGCCATGCTCTTACCTTGGACAGAGTCTTCCTCAGGAGGAAGTTTGCCCACGAAAAGTTCGCCCCGTGTGAGTAAAGCTCCAAAGAGGCGGCTGCATGTCCGGATGGCACACAGGATTATCTCCTGGTCCTCAGCCTGCGAGTTGGAGAAACCAGGATTTGGGGAAAGGAAATTACAGGATTGAGACAGCTACAGGAAAGATTCACGGAAACTAGAAAGTTGCTGTTGAAAGCAGCTGCATTTTTCTGATGAACAAGAAAGGACATTCTGCATACGCTCAGGAGCAGAGTGTAATTGCCTTGATCTTCTCAATTTGACAGATTTGGCAGAATAATAGAGTTGGAAGGGGTCTCGTAGGTCATCTAGTCCAACCCCTGCCCAAGCAGGAGACTCTACACCATTTCTGACAGATAGCAGTCCAGTCTCTTCTTAAAAACCTCCAGTGATGAAGCTCCCACAACTTCCGAAGGCAACTTCTGTTCCGTTGATTGATTGTTCTCAGTGTCAGAAAATTCCTCCTTATTTCTAGGTTGAATCTCTCCTTGATCAGTTTCCATCCATTAGACATTGTCCTTCAGGTGCTTGGGAAAACAGCTTGACCCCCTTCCTCTCTGTGGCAGCCCCTCAAATATTAAAAGAACTGCTATTATGTCTCCCCTGGTCCTTCTCTTCTCTAGACTAACCATGCCCGGTTCCTGCAACCGTCCATCGTAGGTTTTAGCCTCCAGTCCCCTCATCAACTTGGTTGCGCTCCTCTGCACTCTTTCTAGAGTCTCCACATCTTTTTTTATAGTGTGTGGATCAAAGCTGGATGCAATTGCTCATTTCATTCTCTGGCATTTTTTCCCCTACACCAAATTCTCTTGGAAATATAAAAATGGATTTTGCACAGGCTATTGGAAACAGCTGCATCCTTTGGATGAGCTGGAGACAGAGGGTTTCCCCCAATTGGGAAGGGGTTCAGGAAGCAGGTCCAACCAGGATGCCTCTTTGTTTGGGGGGGGGAATGCTAGGAAGTTTGCTTGAGAAGCCGGAGTGATGTGAAATTCAGCAGCTGGCCTGACCCTCTAAAGAGGTCCTGGTGTACCAGCAAGGAAAAAAATGCTTTTGAGAATGAAGTGAGCAATCCAGAAGGGCAGGGAAAGGGCGAGGGGGCTGGGGACGATGGGGATTGTAGTTGGAGGAGGTCCCGTGCATACAGCGCTGCAATATATACACACACTGCTCCCTACCCACCCAAGAGGTCGGGATGATTGGATTCCCCATTTGGCTGCCTCGCGCCCAACTTGGACAACCTCCACAATCTCTTGGAGGCCGTGGGGTTGTGCATACAAAACACCCACACACCCACACACACCCTTCCAAGGGCCCGAAGACTATTACACGTGGATACAATATGTGAATAACACGCCCCCCCTCTTCCAAGGGCCGGAGATTACTGCATTCCCTGCCGCCCTGCGCCCACCTGCAGAAGCTCCAGGATCTCGAAGACGCGATTGGCGCCTCGGCGGCTGCTCAGCGTCTCTTCCAAGCAGGCGGCCAGCCGGGCTTCGGCTCCTCGCCCCGCAGCCTCCGCCATGGGCTCCGAGCTGGGCTTCCCTCCGCCGGATCGCGCTTCCACCCGCTGCCCACGTGCGCGGAAGGAAGGCCGGCCAGGCGCCGCCTTTGCCCACCGGCTCCGCCTCCGCCTCCGCCTCCTCCCCGCCGTTCAGCGCTCCGCCTCTGGCTGCGGGCAGCTTCCCGGGCGCCCCTTGCAAACAACCACCTTGCCCGGCTCTTGGGGGAGCTTNAGGAGAACTATGGGGTCCTTGGTGCTCTCTGAGCTTGGTTGTTTTCTTACAAATGTTTCTTGACCCAACTAGGCAACATCATCAGTATTAGAAGGGAGTGGTGTGTGAGGAGGAGGAGGAAGAGGAGAAGAGCTGTGGAACTAATCATCCCTGTTTCGAAACCGAAGAGCCAGCACTGTCCGAAGACATCTCTGTGGTCATGTAGCCGGCATAACTCAATGCCGAAGGCATACGGAACGCTGTTCCCTTCCCACCAAAGGTGGTCCCTATTTTTCTACATTTTCTACATACTTTTGAACTATAAGGTTGGCAAAAGCTGGGACAAGTCAGGGGAGCTCACTCCATTACGTGGCGCTAGGGATTTGAACCGCCAACTTTTCTGATTGGCAAGCTCAGCATCTTAGCCACTGAGCCACCACATCCCTAAAACGTAGACTCTACAAATAGGTTATTATTGGGATAGTGATGGTAAATGGGATATGAAACAGGTCTGGGGTGAAGCATCAAATCTCGACTTACGACGAAGATAAGAACAGGTCCAACAAACGGAAGAACCGGGCACGGTATTTTACGTGAAAGATAGAGGGGTCCAGAAGACTGTAGAGTTTTGTGTAAAAATCTGGATATTCCCTACGAAAAAACAACAACAACCAACCAACAAATTAACTTAAAGAATGTTGAATTCAAACATTCCCAACAGAATAATTCCCTCACCACTGTCAAACTATTCACTAAGTCTTCATTACTATTACAATTAGTCTTCTCATCATTCCTGTCACCCATCTCCTCCCACTTATGACTGCAGGACAGTAACTGAAGACACCTGGGCAGACAAAACTGGTCTAAGAAGGAACTGTAATGTGTGAATAGGGGAACTAAAAGCCCTTTGGCTAAAGAACAGGGAACGTTTTCGAGGATTTGCTAGGGAAACTCACAGGTTATGTTGGAGAATCAAAACAAACAGTCCATTTAAGGCAAGAAGGCTGATGGCTCCACCTGAAAGAGATGCACAAAGCGAGCTTCAGAAAAAGAGAGTTGGAAAGGGACTGTGGAGGTCTTCTAGTCTAACCCCCTGTTGAAGCAGGAAACCCAAGTAAAAAGGGAGTTAGAGCTCTCTTTCGGGAGACCCAGCAGAATCACTGATGACATTCAGAGCCACCAGATGTGAGGTTAGTGGCTGACAGGTTCACCCAACCCTTTCTCAAGACTGGATCCTCTTTCCTGCTCCCATCGTTTCTTCCCTAAAGTCCACCCTACATTCCTGGGAACCACCACTCACCCACATCATAGGCAACGGTCAAGAAATCCATCAAGAGGGTGGGCTCATTCAGGTGAGGCAAGATGGAGTCATGTAGGATGACCAACACTTTTTTGTAGAGGCTTCCAGGTAGCTACACAGGGGGAGGGAGGGGAGGGAGAGAGAGAAAGAGAGAGCGAGAGGGAGGGAGAGAGAGAAAGGGTGGTGGACCATGTTAGTTAAGAGGGATGGATGCTCCATTCAACTATTTCAAGCATGGCCTGGTTCAAAGGCTGAATAAAGCCTTCCTTCCTGTTTTCTTCCTTCCTTTCCATTTTCCTTCCTTCCTCTTTCCATTTTCTTCCTTTTGTTCTCCTTCCTTCCTCTCAGTTTTCCTTTCTTCCCATTTTCCTTCCCCTCAGTTTTCCTTCCTTCCTTCTCCATTTTCCTTCCTCTCTCCATTTTTTCTTCCTTCCTGTTTTCCTTCCTCCCTCTCCATTTTCCTCCCTTCCTGTTTTCCTTCCTTCCTTCCTGTTTTCCTTCTTCCCCCTATCCATTTTTCTTCCTTCTCCTCCATTTTCCTTCCTTCCCCTCTCCATTTTTCTTCTTTCCTTCTCCTCTCCATTTTCCTTCCCTCTCCTCTCCATTTCCCCCCTTTTCTTTTCTTTCTTTCCTTCCTTCCTTCCTTTCTTTCCTTCCTTCCTTCCTTCCTTCCTTCCCCTCTCCATTTTCCTTCCTTCCTTCCACATTCTAATCTCTCCTGATTAAGGTGCACTGGAGACAACACTTAGAATGGATGAAATTATTACTCAGGTGTGACATCAACCCCACATTCAGACCTTTGAGATCCTCAAGGCACCTACCTTATATTTCAGGAATCCAAGCCACATCCTCTCAAAGGCCCGTCTGTGTTCCTGTGGGGGGAAAAGAAAGTTATGGAGAAAGATGTGGAGCAGCCTTCAGAATGGGCCATATCCTGCAGGCTTCCATGGGAAAGCCAAGCATGTCCATCAAAATACATCCAGGTTCTTGAGATGTTTCAGCCGGCTATCAAGCCATTCCTGCTTTGTTCAAACATCTTTTCCCCCCCTTACTCTCCTGTCAGCTAAGTTCCTACATCAGGCCCAGCAACTGAATTCACACAATCTGGCAAGATTAGTGTCAACTCCCAGAAACATTTCCAGTCTGCTTTCGAGTTGCCATAGGCAGCATTCCACGCATACATTTTTCCAGGATCTGATCTCAGCTTACCAAAGCTGGCTTGTAAGGCATGAGAGGAGGGGGAAACAGGGTCAAAGTTGAACCATAAACTACTTAGGACAGAACTGACCTCACTCGAGGTCAGCTGCCGACATGCTGCCCCTAATAAATAACTGGTTTTCTTTTGAAACTTGGCTCAAGACTCATGAATTAATTAGGGCATTTTGGGGGGCCTTGACAGTTGGTCCTTATTTTCTGGTCTACACTGTTGTATCACCTCTTTGATGACATTCCCCAGAAATGCAACACAACCCTACCCTTGAGATTTGCATTAAGCAAGGTCAACAGAAGAGCAACAATGAATAATTTCACTCTATGAAAATATTTACCTTTAGTTTGGACACTTTCCACTCCTCCTGATTAGCTGTCAAGAGAGAAAGAGAGACTCAATTAAAAAAAACCCCAACAGTTGTGAGAATCAAGACAACTCTTTGAAATGTTTCCTCCCAAAGTTTTGGAATAATTTATCGACTTCAATCATTTGTTCTTGTTGTTAGTCACGAATTTGTGTCCGACCCATCGCGACTCCATGGACAACATTCAACCTGATGGGTTGTTTAACCACAGCCAAGTTCACTCTTGAACATAATTCTCGTCGGACACAGATGGAAAAAACCAGAGAATTTCACTCACCGTGTTTTACTAGAAATTTTTTTATCTCGCTTTCCTCACTCGGCATGACGATGGATGAAATGAGAGCGAAGGCGTTCTTTTGGTAAATCGGAAAGAGAGCCTGTGGGAAGGAAAAACAGACAATAGAACTGCAGGCATTTTATAATGCATTGTTATGTTCGTCTTTCTTATCTCGTCTTTTTTATCCCCTGTCTGTACCCCCTTCCCTGACTTGAATTGTGAGCCGCCCTGAGTCCCCTTCGGGGAAAAGGGTGGCATATAAATGTAATAAATCCAATCCAATCCAATAATACAATAGCAGAGTTGGAAGGGACCTTGGAGGTCTTCTAGTCCAACCCCCTGGCTAGGCAGGAAACCCTATACCATTTCAGACAAATGG